AAAAAAATACTTACCTAAAATATATGATCCTTTTTTGAAAAAAAAAAAACATTAGAGATTTCAATTAATCAATTAATTAAAATCAAAAACAAAAAAAATTTAAGTAGTAAATTAATAAAAAGATTAATGCATAAAAAAAATACAATAAAATATACGAAGAAATTCGACCACCCCCTACATATTTTATAACCTCTCCCAGAAAAAAACTTGTAATACCCACCCCATTTGGAATTCCATCAATTACTCGTCTATCAAAAAAAGAATTTAGTTTAGCTAATCTTCTTACATTATTAATTAAAGATATTCGATAAAAAGCATCTATGTAACCACGATTATATGACCAATCATATATGACATTTCTTATTTTATCTGCTTTGTTAGGAACATTGTTTGAAAATAAATTAAGTAAGTTGAAATTTTGTAAAGATGAATAAACAGGCATATAGAAAAAAGACGCTATAAATATTCCGAAAAAAGCTATACTGACCGAAAAAGTTGCATTTGTGATAAATTCATACCAATTCCCAGAATTATTTGAATTTGGATGGAAACGATCTATACGCGGAATTAACAATTTGGATAATATATCCAAATCTAGTCCTTCTTGATTGAAAGAGATTCCTATGACCCCAATGAACAAAGTAAATAGTACTAATACAAGCATAGAAAATAACATAGTATTTGCCGATTCATGGGGATAGGAAAAAGGGGTGTTGTTAGTTTCAAAATAGGTAATATCAATAAAAGGCCATGTTATGTTTTTTATATTTCTATCAATTCGATATGAATGTGTCTTCTTCCGAAAAGAGGAAGCCCTCCCATTATTATTGATTGTTAATAAAGATAATAAATGCGTTTTTTTTTTCACTTCTTTTTCTTTACCCCATAAAGATATTGAATGGAATGAGCTATTTTTTTTTCCATTGTAATTTTTCAAATTAACATTTAAATATCCTTCAAAAACAAGTAAATAGATTCGAAACATATAAAATGCGGTTAATCCTGCTGTGGAACAAGCTATTATTGCAAAAATTGGTGAATACAACCAACTATCATTAAGAATTTCATCTTTGGACCAAAAACAGGCAAAGGGTGGAATACCACAAAGAGAAAGTGTACCTACTAAAAAAGCGGTTTTTGTAATTGGCACATGTTTTGTTAAACCGCCCATAAGAACCATATTTTGACTTTTATCTGGAGAATATCCAACAATAGTTTCCATTGAATGAATAATGGATCCGGATCCTAAAAACAATAATGCTTTTGAATAAGCATGAGTAATCAAATGAAATAAAGCGGCTCGATAAGAGCCCATACCTAGAGCTAACATCATATAACCCAATTGAGACATTGTAGAATAGGCCAAACTTCTCTTAATATCCTTTTGAGCAAGAGCTAAAGTAGCTCCTAATACTACTGTTATTATTCCTATGAAAGCTATTCCATTCATTATGGAAGGTATAACTATGAAAAGAGGAACAAGTCGGGCTACAAGAAAAATTCCCGCCGCTACCATAGTAGCAGCATGGATAAGAGCAGAAATAGGGGTAGGTCCTTCCATAGCATCCGGTAACCATACATGAAGGGGGAATTGGGCAGATTTAGCAACTGAACCGCCAAATAACAGGAAGGCACACAAAGTAACTAATAAAAGATTAACCTCATTATTATAAATCAAGTTATTGAATATTTCAAATAAATCCCGAAATTCCAAACTACCCGTTATCCAATAAAGACCTAAAATTCCCAATAATAAACAAAAATCCCCTACCCGATTAGTTACAAACGCTTTTTGACAAGCATTTGCCGCAATAGGGCGTGTGAACCAAAAACCTATTAATAGATAAGAACACATTCCAACCAATTCCCAAAAAATATAAATTTGTATCAAATTTGAACTAGTAACCAATCCCAACATTGAAGTATTAAAAAAACTCATATAAGCAAAAAATCTCAAATATCCTTCATCATGAGACATATAATTGTCACTATAAATAAGAACCAAAATTCCAACAGTAGTGATTAATATTGACATAATAGAGGTAAGTGAATCGATCAAGTAGCCAAATTCTAAAGAAAGATCATTATTTATAGTCCAAGACCATACATATTGATAGATGGAACTATTATTGATTTGATGAATAGACAGATCCACCGCAAAAATCATAACTATACTTAATAATAAAACACTAGGAAAAGCCCACATACGACGAATCTTTTTTGTTGCCGTGGGAAAAAGGAGAAGTCCCACTCCTATTAACATAGGAACTGGAAGTGGAATGAAAGGTATGATCCATGAATATTGATGTGTATATTCCATACAAAAAAAAGAAAAAAATTTCTTAATTCTTAATGAGTTTTGTTTCTTATTCGCCAATTTTATCTCTTTTGAGAGGATTCAGTTAATAAAAAAATGAGGATTAAGATAGAAATCGAATTTTCTATTGTTAATTATTCTGAATTTTTGTCCAATATTTCCAATAGTTCAAAGTACGAAGTGAAAATGGATCAAATGATATGACCAAATTACTAGTGAAAAGTCGACTTTTTTTCTTTTTTTTTTTTTAATAAAAATTGGAAATTATTATTATACAATAATTTATATACAGATACAGAGAATGAGGATAAATAATTACACCAAAACTCAAAACATTAGTTTATTTTGATATGAATCATTAAAAACAATCCATATGACTCAAAAAAATTCTTATTTTTTTGAGTTTTTGATTCCGAATCATTAATTCGTTTTGGCACTAATTGATTATTTTCCATTCCAATAAAAAGACATCTATCTTTGTAAAAAGTTTGTAAAAAAGGTTATGATATTCAACAGTTTATTTTAGATAGAAAAAAGGAATTAAGATACATGATTTTTGAAAATCATGTATCTTTTAAATGACCAAGTAAGCAGGATAAAGATAAGGGTTGGGTTCTTAAACTTTTTCGATATTATCTTATTCCATGTATAAATGCAATACGACGAAAATAGACCGAGATAGAAAAGGATAGTCTTCTTTTGTAAGAATTACATAAAAAAGAATTACATAAAAGATTACTAGGAACAAAAAAAGACTGTGTGATTTTTACATACCCACATTTTTGAAAGAGTAGAATAGTCTAATTTAGAAAAACAAATAGATAAGATAGATATATGGTTAATTAAAGAACAATTCATTTTGAACAATAGATGTCTTTCACATCCAACTATAGCAATGAATAAACTAGTATAATTTTTGAATGGCAGCTCCAAAAAAACGCACTTCTATATCAAAAAAAAGGATTCGGAAAACAATTTGGAAGGAGAAGGGATATTGGGCAGCATGGAAAGCTTTTTCGTTAGGGAAATCTCTTTCTACGGGGACCTCAAAAAGTTTTTTTGTGCAACAAATACAAACATTGGAATAATCGAAATTAGCTGGACTCAAAGAATAGTCTAATTTCAAAGAATAGTTTCGTATATATCTTGAAATTTTTTTATGATTATTATTATTGGTTTTTTGCTCTTTTATATTATTTATAGTTTTTTTTTAGTTTATATATTTTATAGATATTTTTATACAAACTAAAAAAAAATAAGATATAAGTAAGAATTTCTATTTGCTAATGTTTTGAACTGTTCAATATAAGATTGACCCCATTTTGGAATTGGCTTTTTTTTATTCTTTAATTTTCTGTTTTTCAAATGCAATATTTGTTTACTAAATATTCAATTTATTCAATTTAGTAAACAAATATTGCATTTGAATCGACTCTTTCAATCTCGACGATTGACTAAAAATCGGTTATTATGATTTCGAGCAAGCCGCTATGGTGAAATCGGTAGACACGCTGCTCTTAGGAAGCAGTGCTAGAGCATCTCGGTTCGAGTCCGAGTGGCGGCATGGCATCTTATTTTCTAAAAGAGTAAGTCCTATAATGAATTCAATTCCCGATTTCCATTCATATAATTAGGAGATTTATTTTTATTCATTTTATGATATTTTCAACTTTAGAGCATATATTAACTCATATATCGTTTTCGGTCGTATCAATTGTAATTGCAATTCGTTTGATAACCTTATTAGTCAATGAAATCGTAGTACTATATGATTCGTCCGAAAAAGGCATGATAGTAACTTTTTTCTGTATAACAGGATTATTAGTTACTCGTTGGATTTTTTCGGGACATTTACCATTAAGTGATTTATATGAATCAATAATCTTTCTTTCATGGGGTTTTTCCATTTTTCATATAGTTCCGGTTTTTGGTTTTAAAAAGCTTAAAAACTATTTAAGCACAATAATCGCACCAAGTATTATTTTTACCCAAGGCTTTGCTACTTCGGGGCTTTTAACCGAAATGCATGAATCCGCTATATTAGTACCCGCTCTGCAATCGCATTGGTTAATGATGCACGTAAGTATGATGGTATTGGGCTATGCAGCTCTTTTATGTGGATCATTATTATCAGTAGCTCTTTTAGTCATTACATTTCAAAAAGTAATAATAAGAAATATTGGTAAGAACAAGAATTTTTTTTTTAATGAGTCATTTTCTTTTGCTGAGATCAAATACATGAACGAAAGAAACAATGTTTTACAAAACACTTCTTTTTCTTCTTATAGAAATTATTACAGGTTTCAATTTATTCAACAATTGGATCGTTGGAGTTATCGTATTATTAGTCTAGGTTTTCTCTTTTTAACCATAGGTATTCTTTCGGGAGCAGTATGGGCTAATGAGGCCTGGGGATCCTATTGGAATTGGGATCCAAAGGAAACTTGGGCGTTTATTACGTGGACCATATTCGCGATTTATTTACATACTAGAAAAAAAAAAAAATGGGAAGGTGTAAATTCTTCAATAGTGGCCTCTATAGGCTTTCTTATAATTTGGATATGTTATTTTGGGATCAATCTATTAGGAATAGGACTACATAGTTATGGTTCATTTACATCTAATTGAATTAAAGTGAGTAAAGGGCCTGACAAATACAAACATAGTAACATATATATATATATAAGAAAGTATAAGAAAACTTCGCATAAACCGCCGAGAACCCTTTAAATCAAGTAATGTAGTGATTCAAGGGGTTCTCACAAACACCAAACATATCCGGTTACAATTCCAATTCATTTTTTTTAAGAGAAGAAAAAAGATTTTTTTGTTCATTGTACAATGAACACTATTAAAAAAAATAGGATTTATTGCTCTTTTTTTTTTTTAGTCATTTATTCATGAAAACTATCTATAAAAAATTAGATAGAATAGCTTCGACCTTGTCAACTGATAATGAGAAAATGAAATCTGGATAAATACCAATACCTATTACAGGTATAAGGATAGAAATCGAAATAAATAATTCTCGCGGCCCAGAATCAAAAAAAAAAGAGTTCGGTGTATTAAAAAACTTGTATCCATAGAACATCTGGCGTAACATAGATAATGAATAAATAGGAGTTAATATCATTCCAATTGCCATTACAAAAGTAATTAGTATTTTTGTCATTAAAAGATATTTTTGACTGGTAATTATTCCAAAAAAAACTATCAATTCTGCAACAAAACCGCTCATGCCCGGCAATGCAAGAGAAGCCATTGATAAAATACTGAAAACCGTGAATATTTTTGGCATTGGAATAGCCATTCCGCCCATTTCGTCGAGATAAAAAAGACGTATTCTATCATAACTCGTTCCTGCCAAGAAAAAAAGCGCAGCACCAATAAATCCATGAGAAATTATTTGGAAAATGGCTCCGTTGAGTCCCATATCGCTTATAGAACCAATTCCTATAATTATGAAACCCATATGAGATACAGAGGAATAAGCTATTCTTTTTTTTAAATTACGTTGACCAAGAGATGTTGAAGCTGCATAGATTATTTGAATTGCGCCTAATAGAATTAACCAGGGGGAAAATATAGAATGAGCGTGGGGTAATAATTCCATATTAATTCGAACCAATCCATACGCTCCCATTTTTAATAAGATTCCGGCTAAAAGCATACAAGTACTGTAATGTGCCTCTCCGTGGGTGTCTGGTAACCATGTATGTAAGGGTATAATCGGTGATTTGACAGCAAAAGCAATAAGAAATCCAATATAGAATATTATTTCCAGTGCCACAGGATACGATTGATTAGCCGATGTTTCAAAATTTAATGTTGGTTCATTAGAACCATATAAACCGATACCGAGAACTCCCATTAATAAAAAAATGGAACTTCCTGCAGTATACAAAATAAACTTTGTAGCTGAATACAAACGTTTCTTTCCACCCCACATGGATAAAAGTAGATAAACAGGAATTAATTCTAATTCCCACATGATGAAAAAAAGTAAAATGTCTCGAGAAGAAAATGATCCTATTTGACCGCTATACATTGCTAACATCAGGAAATGGAATAATCGAGATTCCCGAGTAACCGGTTGAGCCGCTAAAGTAGCTAAAGTGGTGATAAATCCCGTCAGTAAAATGGGTCCTATAGAGAGTCCATCTATTCCGAATCTCCAGTAAAAATCAAAAAAATTGATCCATTTATAATTCTCCGTCAATTGGATTAATGGATCGTCCAATTGG